CACTCTCTCTCTCTCTCACTCTCTCTGTCTCTGTCCATCTGTCTGTCTGCGGGTGTACGCATTACCATAAATAAATTATAACGCTCCGTATTCGCACAGAGAGTTTACTGCATATATGTGCGATAACTCACACACACACACACACACACACACACACACACACACACACACACACACACACACACAAACTCTATGAGCAGGCTGCTGAGATAATAATAGTTGCCAAGCTTGATGCAAGCGCAGTTGGAGCGCTGAGAAAGCTATAAACTTGCTACAGATACAGGAGAGCGATGGGGGCGAGCGGCTCTAGTAAATGTAAGCTGCACACACGGTGAATGATAATAATTTACAACATAAGAGCAAAACACAATGGAACACTAGGAATACCGAATGAACAACAACAAAAACAACAACAGAAACTAAAAGCAAACCCAAACCCAAACTCAATTTCAGAATGGAACTTTTTATACTTCAGACGGGCGTGTCGAGTGTGCGTTGCATTCAGCCACAAAAATGCTGCATACAAATGATGCAATTAGTTGAGGCAAAACAACTAAAAATTGAGATTGAGGCCAAGGGGAGCATATTAAATGCTCGAGTGCACGAGTGTGTTCTAAGAGCTGAAACTGAAGTTTTAGGCGTTGGCAGCCATCAAAAGCTCAACGAAAATTGCCAACTTAGCAGCAAAGTCTTCTTCTTCAGAAATAGTCAAAAATTTCTGACAAATTGTCAACGAAAGTTTCTTTCGCACAAAACTCCCCAACTGTCGAGTTGTTTTCTGTTTGAAAAGTTTTTTTTTTTTTGCGAAGGGTCGACTGCTGACAAGTTGAAAAACATTATTGCGTTTATGAAATACAAATATATTTGTAAATTGTCAGGGAAGTATGCGCTGCAATGGAAGCGTGTAGTTCACAGCCTACTAAGGAATGATGCCAGACTAAGCGAATTCAAAAAAGACTTTTCAATTGGATTTTGAAGTTGCTCAAGTAGCAATTAGTCATGCACTTAAACTATTTTTGCACTTGAATAAAATCTAGCATTATCTACACTTGTAGAGAACCAAATTTGAGGTGACTTTCATTCGACGTTACTTTTGTATTCAATTGGCAGGTTCATTTGGCATTTTTTCTCCCTTTTTTTATTGCGCTTCTCTTTGCTGACTTACTAAGTTTCAATTAGATGCTCCCGCTCAGAAAATGGCATTGTGCCCAAAACTGCAGCCTCGAAAGCTGATGCTAGAATGTTGGCCAAAGTCTGCGGATAGCCAAAAAACACAAACGACACACACACACAGTCGCATACAGATATACACTCAGCGGCAGGCAAATAGCCCAAAATTCATATTGGTCTAAAAGGAAAGAATGAAATGAACGAAGAAACATTTGCTACGCTATATATGTGTATGCAAACAGTTTATTAATATGTATGTATACATGTATGTGTTTATGTATATATAAAAATATATATCTATACGATGGCATAGGGCATAAAATGCCAACGAACGGAAATGAAATTGCAATTGCTGAGCCATGCAGACGACACGGAGTCGCGACGCGCTGATGCAGAACGCGCTGAGAGAGCAATTCTCGGGTAGTGGGTTGTACTGTACTGAATGGGTGGTGGGTGGTGGGTGGTGATGGTTTCGTATTGGATTGTTGCCACGGTTTGCCATTCGCGATTGCTTATTGAAATTTTGCATTTATGCGAGTGTGTGTGTGTGTGTGTGTGTGTGTGTGTGTATGTGTCTTTTTTGGCAGCAATTCTATTTCCGCTACGTTCTTATTTTGCGCCTCGGCATATGCAATACATTTTTGGCACTCAGCTGCTGCAACAACTTCAAAGCAACGGCATTCTAAGGGGCCACTTTCCACTTTCTTGTGACCCCCTGACAGTGTTAAGAAAATAGTCCCTCAATGCTGTCTCTCTCCCAGCGCTCTAAACGCCACGCACACACCCGTATACACACACACACACACACACACACTGAGGCAGAAGTTCAGCAATGCTCATTAGTTGAGCGGCAGAAACGTTAAGAGCAGAGAAATTGTGCACTCTGGTGCTAAACAAGTTAATTAGTTGCCTTTTGCTCGTTTTTGGTGGCTCTAGCTGGGACATTTATGTGGCTCACCATGGGTTAAGAGCACTCCATGAGCATTTGTATGTGTGTGCCAAAGAATATTATGTGTGTGTGTTTGTATGTGTGTGTGGCTTAGAGTTTATCTTAATGACAAAATAAATTATTTACCACACACACACATACACACACATACGCACACTTCAATTGACTCTATTTACCACGAGTTAAAAGCCGCGCAGCTGTATGTGTGTGTGTGGGGGTGGTAGTCTTGCTTTAATGCCACTTTTTACACGCGGATATTACTTATGTTTAATATCAGCTCACAGTTGGTAAATAGACAGAGCCAGGCGGGCATAATCCGTGCGCAGCACACACAACGGGGCAGAGGCAGGCAGGATGTTATATGCGTGTCTGTTGATCCTTGACGGTAATAGAAAAAATCTAAAAAATAAACTACATAAACATGATAGCTGTGCAAGGGAATGTATTATGAGACAGAGTGCAAGCAGAGTACATTTGCAAATTTAATGAGCGCTTCACTTTGATTTAATTTAATATCATAAATAATTGATAAATTTCCCATAAGCAACAAACTGCTGCATAAGACTAAGCCTGGCATGAAAGGTCATTTAAAACTAGAGCAGTCCCTTTAGTGAATCAGTGAATCGAATAAAGATTTGTATTTTATTTATACAATTTTCAAAGCTTAGTCCAATGAAGGCTAAAAGTGTAAAGTGTAAATCAGCATTAATCGTTCAGTTGATTTAGTCATATCCATCTTCCGTCTAAATGAATTTAGAATAAGCTGTCATATGCCGTAGTTTATTTATCGATAACTTTCCTGGTTTCGCCATACAATTCGATTTCCGATTGCGATTAATGATATAATCGTTTCAATTGAAAAATTTAGCTTCATACAATTTATAAATTGTCTGAACTTAATGGAGATTTGATAAGAAGAACAAATATTTTTGGGTATATGCATTTGTACCCTAAATAAAAGATAAACAAATACAAAGCATCTCCAAGAAAAACGCTTAATTTAGCATTAAAGATGTGTGAAAAAGACGATGATGAATGTGCTTGGTATTCTGGGACGTCTAAGAAACGAACAAACAAATATTTAAAATGTTTTTAAGGACTAAAGATGTAGCACATTTGACCTGATATTTAAGCCACTGTGCGTCTGCGTTGGCAGTAGATAAGTGCGGGTTTCAATTACCTACAACGACACTTCAATTGCATGGGCGTCACATAAAAACAGTTTGTTGCCCGAAACAATGGCACGCAGCGAGCCAGTTGTGCCAAGATGATGGCTTGATGCTCGTTTAATCTTAGATTTTAATTGCATGGCTATAACGTTGGCCCTGAAGACGGGGCGCCTCGGTTGGAGGCTCGGCCGCAGCCGTTGCAAGTAAATTGAATTTAATTACAACATGTTCTGCTTTTCATTTTGATTGCTGAATTAATTTGAATACGTCATAAACTTCGAGGGAGCCATAAAAATTTCATGGCTGGTGAAATGCAAATGCCTCGACTAAGCGATATCAAGCATTAAAGAGTGCAAACTTTTCTGCTTGCACTAATTAGCGTGAGTGGGGCATTAAAATTGCTATGCCGCTGGCGAAGCAGGCTCTCGCCGCTTAAAGTTGTGCACCTAAAAGTGTGCCACAAAGAAATTAAAATTGAAATGTAAAACTTGCCAAAGTTTTCACACACACAAACACACACGTAAATTTAAAATGCAAAGCGAAACTCGCAAAAAAATGGAATTTCAAGTTGGTCCGGGCCAGGTGGGATTGCACCAAAGTTGCCAGAAAAAACTTGCAGTAATAAGTGCACTTGGCAACAACCTGACGATGGCAAGTAGTGGGCAAAGGGTGCGAGGCAGAATAAGGCAAGCGCTCTGCCAGCTCATTAAAAGTAAAAATGATATGCATTAAGTTGGCCAACCATAACGACAACACTAAAGCACTGAAACTGCAGTCATTAGGCCAAAACTTATAGCCATCTTATTCAACCTCTCTCTCTCTCTCTCTTTCTCTGGGCTAATGGTCAATGCTAATTGCGTAGAATTCATTTGGAATGCATGCCACACCTGCCACAGGTCAATGGAGAATGTCACTGTTTGCCACATAAATTGTCATAATTGTTTGTCAGGGCGCCCGATCACGCGGCATAAGCCCTCTCAGCATTCCCAAAGTATCAATGCATATTTCATTGGCTGACACATGCATTAACGTGTTCGAGCCACAGTTGCTGCTTCTGCTGCTGCTGCTGCTGCTCTGAATAAAAGCACAATTGGGATTGCAGAGGGATGTAAGAGGGTAGCGGACATTTGAGCATTATTCATTCAGCGCTACAGCATAATTTATGTGCTCGCATAGCCCCACATGCCTGACATTCCAATCGCTTTTACGCTCAGCCTGACAATTTGCTGTCACAGGCATTTAAGGTTCCGCCGCATCGTGTTGTGCGTTGAGAACTGCTTTAACATTTATTCCGTTGACTATAGCAGAGAAAACGTTGTGTTGCCATGTCCGACGACCCTTTCACAAAATTGCTGCTGTCAAATCGCTGTCAACATTTACTGTGCCGCACAACATGTCGCATGCTTCATGTGCATGCTGTTATTTTCCACTTAAAAATCAAATAATTTAACACTATTCGATAACTATGTATGTGTGTGTGCGTGTGTGTATAGGTTGAACATTGGTACTGGCCTAGCATAGGTTTCATGCGCTTAACCAATATATCAATTGATAAACTGATAATGGGCCCAAAATGAACATAGCACAATTATGCGATGACTCATCTGAAATTTGCTACTGATTTAGTTTGCCGGCCTACATGATTCAATCGAATTTTATTGGCATTACTCAAATTTGTGTTAAGCCAAAATATTTCAAGTGCTTCAATCACTCTGTATTTAATCATAATCATTTAATGTTCAAATATGTCTTCACCCATTCTTGGATACGGCAATACAAAACGCAAAATGCAGGAAAAATCAAATAACTTATATAACTTAATGAACTTAATGACGTCAGACGTCGGCAACAGCTGCAATTAGTTTTGTATAGACCTCAATACCATGCAAATAGGTATTCGCACGAATATATTCATCGTGATCGTGCAACAAAATGGGCGTGTTATTCATGGGCGAGAAACCAAGGGCAGGAATTCCCACGGAACGCAAGAAGCGGCTGTCTGTGCCGCCAGGACAGACATGGGCGCGGAATTTCAGATTTCTGTCAAGTGAGGATAAAGTTTACCAATCACATTCACTAGCAGTGTAATGAGCATACTCACAGTTCATTCAATGCCTTCTCAAAAGCCAACCAGTAGGGATTGGATGCATCAACCTTTGTGGGCGGCACATATTCATCCTTTTGTTCGAATATAATCTCAATGCCACCGCCAGCCTGCTCGCACCAGTCACGTATCTGCTGCTCAAATGCCACCAAATCCACGTCGATGGCAATGCGCAGATCGAAGACCACTTCCAGCATTGAAGGTACCACATTGCTCTGCACACCACCGCTCAATCTCGTCAGATTCACTGTGGTCACGTCACCAAAGAAGAGACTTTTATCATTTTTTAGTTTTTGCACCTGCGTTTCACGGAATGTCATCATTTTGTTCACCACGAAATGTAGCTTCTCGCCGGCGGTGTTGGGCAATAGAATGGAACCATGACCAGCAGTACCGCTGAACTTGAATCGTATATCTACAAGCGGGATATTTAGTATACTGCAGTGAGTCGTGTTCTCAGTCAGACTTACGCCATGCTGTACGCTCTGCGTAATAGACATAATAGCCGTCATCCAAACTGGAGGAGCCCTCGTCCAAGCTTAAGCCTATGTTCAGGCTCTTAAAGTAATCTCCCTTAATAAATTCGCGCATTCCACAATATCCACCAACCTCCTCATCGGGCACAAAGGTCACATAAATGGTTCGCTTTGGCTGATAGCCTTTGGCCTTCAGAGCGCGAATAGCTGCCAGATATTGAGCACCCACACACTTCATGTCCTGCGTGCCACGCGCATAAATGCGTCCCTCGTCATCCATATCGGCACTGAAGGGATCGTGTGACCATTTCTCCGGGAAGACTGGTACAACATCCGTGTGAGAGTTCAGAACAATACCGGGGAGTTTAGGTTGCTTGCCCAGCCATTTCATTATGACCACGGGATTGTCTTTGTTGACAGGATATTCGACATCAACCAGCAGATCCAAACTGGCTGCCTGACGTTTCAAGAAAGCCACACAATCAGCTGCAAAAGAATCAGGTTATTTTTAATCCAAATCTATGGAATTTTTAGGATTTGGCTAATCAAGATTTTTGCAATCTTGCAAAACTTACTGTAATCAATGTTTGGGTGCACGGTTGGAATTCGCAAGTATTCACGGAAGATTTTAATTTCCTCATTATTTTCCCACTCAGCTTTGCTCATTTTGCTTGCGATTTGTTTATAACACTAAACAAAATATGTTTTCTAAACAAAATTTGATTGTAAGTATTCGCTATAAATAATTCGGATCTTTTGATAAACAGCTGCCCACAGATGGCTAACAAAATAAAATGCTTCTGAACGGTTCCAGCGGTAGCCAACGACTGTTTGGCATTGTTATCGCGCAAAACATTTATATATGAAATGCTACCATCCATCATAGACTTTTTTCATTAACAACGTGTCTACTTTTATCAAATATTTATAACTAAGTCACCAATTCTTATCAGTGTTATGTGGAATTTACTAATGACCTTTAAACACAACATATTGGGTCTAATTGAAATAATGGGACAAATGTCTAGTTTCATTCACTTACAGTTTTTCGGTTACCATCGCCCTGCTTGAAGTAATGCTTAAATAAGATTTATCTTCTGCTCCTTTAATTGTAGATTTAGTTTTTTCGCCACATAGAATCCAAAAAATGTATATGACACGCGCAACACGATAAAGTGTATATATTGTTTAACACGTACACCTTTTCTCTACATAAATACATATCTTTTTATAAACTGTATCTATTATATTATCTCTTATCTTGCTTTTACTCATAAAACGTCAAATATCTTGTAATGTTTTCTTTTCAAATGCAAAGGGGTATTATGAAGGTACCATATTCTAGCCCATAAAGAATATATATTAAATGTATAATTGATCAGAACAATAAGCCAAGTTGATTTATTTATTTGCGTCTGTATGAACAATCTCAGAGACTATAAGAGCTAGAGAGCTCCCCGAAGAGGGCCCATGCTTGCACATTAGTAATAGCTGGAATGACCGTCTTCTAAACTTCATAACCATACAGATAAAGATCTGCAGGTATATATTCATCGGGACCATTTACCAGCATGGGCAGACTCTTAATCGGCGAGAAACCCAAAGTTGCAACTCCAACTGGGCGAAAGAAGCGATTGTCTGTACTGCCAGGACAGACTACTGTGGGTAATTTCAAGTTTCTGCTGGATGGGAAGAACGTTTGCAATCAACATGAATAACATTCTCAGTATGAGTACACTCACAGAATTTGCAAAACGGATTTGATTCATCAATCCTTGTCCCCGTTACATATTCATCTTTGCGCTTAAGCCTCCTCACACTGGGTATGAACTTGCTTATCAAAGGCTCCACATCGATATCAAAGCTTATGTCAAATGAACCACATTGCTATGCACACTACCACAATGCTCGGATCTGCGGTTAGCCTTTTTACCTAAGATGGTCGGTATTCCACCAACTTATTTACAAGATAGTTGAGCTTCTACTTCTGAAGGGTTTTTATTTCCCACGTTTCCGCGTAAACAGGCACCACCATATGGGAGTTCAGTATGCTTGATCAAGGATATGTAAGCCTTTGGGGTGCTTAAGCTAGCTGTTCTATCTTAATTTGAATGCCGTTCATAAGAAATATTAAATATAAAAGTGATTCACTTATTTTAAAGTAGCCAATTGAAATTCATCTCTAATTTGTAGCGTGACGAATATTCACATCGATAGCGAAAACCACCTACATAATCTAATCTTCTTAGATGATGTGATAAATGTTACCTGGCATAACTTTCTCAATCTCTTCAACATAAAAATGTATAAAACAGCTTTGATGTGTTTTCATACCCAACAAAAAAAAGGGATTATCGAGTGTGAACCAAACCCGATTTCAATTGCAAAGCTAATACACGTTAGTAAGCAAATAAATTTAAGTATATAGGAAGACTTCTAGACAAACCTAGTTTGTTTTTATCTTTATTGGTTATTGGTTATTCGTTTTTTTTTTTTTTTAATTTTGCTTCTATGTGTATCTTATCAGCGTGATTAATGTGGTTGCAAATTAGGCCATAATCAGATTCATTGTTTCCGTTTCCATTTCTTAGGCATACTTAATAAAACAATTATATACATATACATGTGGACAAGGTGATTTATTTATCTCATGGAAAATCATACATATAATAATCACATTGCTCAAATATAAAACAGATCAATAATATTTATGTTATTACCCTTAGACATTGGCAACAGCGGCAATCAGTTTCTTGTAAATTTCAATACCCTGCAGATAGGTTTCTGCCCGCAGGTATTCATCGTGGTCGTGTAATAAAATGGGCGTATTGTTAATAGGTGAGAAACCCAATGCCGGAATACCAACATGTCGAACGTAGCGGCTGTCAGTGGCACCTGGGAAAACCCGTTGACGAGTCTTCAGACCACTACAATGATGAATATAATTTAACTATTTGTTTATTATTGATAGCTTCTAACTTACAGTTCATCGAGAGCTTGCTTAAAGGCCACCCAATATGAATTTGAGGGATCGATTTTGGTCGGAGCTACGTAAGGTTCCTTCCACTCGAAATCTAGTTCAATACCACCTCCAGCCTCTTCGCACCAATCGCGAATTTGCTTCTCGAAGGCGGCTACATCCACAGTTATGGCAACTCGAATATCAAAGACCACCTCCAGCAAGGGTGGTACCACATTGCTCTGCACACCCCCTTTCAATTGGGTGACATTAACTGTGGTTACATCTCCAATGTCAATGGTGGGGTCTTCCAGTCGCTTCACCTGTGATGCACGGTACTCCATCATCTTATTTAGAATGTAGTTGAATTTCTCGCCTGCAGTATTCTCTAGCAGAAGGGATCCATGGCCAGCAGTGCCACTGATCTTAAATCTAAGAGCTGAAAGAACATAATTCGTAAAGTTGCCTCGCATCACACGCTACAAGGCACTTACCCCACAGAGTCCGCTCGGCATAGTAAACGGAGAAGGTTTCATTCTCGCTGGCAATGCCCTCGTCAAAGCTAAATCCAACATTCATTTTCGTAAAGTATTCACTTTGGACCAGCAGTTTCAAACCCGGAATAATGCCTGCTTCTTCATCAGGTACAAAGGTGAGATACACCGTACGTTTTGGCTGGAAGCCACTGGCTTTGAGGAAGCGAATGGCTCCAAGATATTGAGTTCCAACACACTTCATGTCCTGTGAGCCACGAGCATAAATGCGACCTTCGTTATCTAGATCGGCGCTGAAAGGTTTGTGAGTCCACTTGCTTGGAAATACGGGCACAACATCCATGTGGGAATTTAAAAGAATGGAAGGCAGTCCAGGTTGTTTGCCAAGCCATTTCATAACAACAACGGGGTTCAACCCGTTTTGGGGATAAACCACTTCCACGGGAAGATCCAAACTACTTGCCTGACGTTTCAAGAAATCCACACAAGCGGCTGTAAAACATAAATTTATTTGTATATTAATTATGAGCATTTATTATCACTGCAAAACTGACTGTAATCGATATTTGGATGAACCGAAGGAATTCGCAGATATTCACGAAAGATTTGAATTTCTTCATCGTTTTCCCAACGAGTTGTGCTCATTTTAAAAAGTCCTTTGTTTATTTGTCAATTAAGACTTTGTGTACAGAAACAGAACGTTCTACGTGCTTGAATGGTGCTTTAAGTCTGCTAAAATATCATAGTTCACTTATTGTTTAAATAGCTAATGCGAAAGTCGATTGTAAGAAAACATTTCAGTGCTGTTGTGGTTAATTTTACATTGTTCCAATTTCACAAAATATTAATGTGGTTTTGCATGTTATCTAAAAGTCCATTGTGCTTATTTATCAAAACAATATATCTTGGTGAGGTTAAAGTGCATGTTTTTGTTAATAAAAGCATTTGTTTCAAATTATATTTATGGTTTCTGACGTGTCTGGCTTTCATATATTGTATGGAAGGGTATAACAAAGTTAAGCAAATGATTAAATACGCCTCAACCAGTTTCATTTAGATTAGATGTAGTCACATAGATTTATAATTATGTAATAAAGCACTCAAGTAATATATATACATATATATGTATATATATATATATATCTCGATTTCCGACAGCAATAAATGCCACAATTTTAAAAGCAGATGCTTCATATTAATACATAATGTGCATATGCAAATTATTTCATCAATAAACAGCTGGGTTCAGGGTGTATCGTAGTCGATTTGTTTAATTTATATTTCATATTTTTAGCTTAAGGGTGAATCTGACCACAAATACAGATGGGTCTATTGTTCTTAGAAGATTATAGACTGTATATCGCACAAGCGAATTGGAAATTGTTTGCTGGACTTATTCATTCATTTGAAGAAAAATACCTTTTTTAGAAGGTTGATTACTTATACATCTCTAACGAATGGTGTTCTCCATGCCTAATTTTAAAAGATAAGATAACACTTTTCCAAAACTGGTTGTTTATAATAATCGTGAAGCATGATTGACCATCAAAATTAGTTTCGTGGTAAAAATACATATTTGTTTGGGAATGAAATTGATTTTTATTGATTTATAGCTTTAATCAACTGTCTAGATAAACAATTGAGATAACATTGCAACGTTATCGTCGTACTAAAAATTTGAAATGTACATATATTATTATATATACGAATAAAAGAGCTAGAAAATGTTCAGTTTAAATTCGTGCGTTGAAACTATATTCAAAGACAGTCTTTTTTAATGTGCGCAGTCAAATGGAATGGAAAATGCAGTCAGCAATAGTCGTCCGTAATCTTTCTCCGTTTAGACATTGGCAACAGCAGCGATGAGTTTCTTGTAGACCCCAATGCCGTGCAGATAGGTATCCGAACGCAGATATTCGTCGTGATCATGCAGCAGTAATGGGGTATTGTTGATTGGCGAAAATCCCAAGGCAGGGATTCCCTCATGTCGAATATAGCGACTGTCTGTTGCGCCCGGGAACACACGGAAACGAGTCTTAAGACCTCTGTAAGTACAATATAAAGGTTACAGACACCACTTTGACAAATCAGTTAAACTTACAGTTCGTCTAAGGCATTTTTAAATGCCACCCAATAGAGATTCGACGAGTCCATCTTAGTCGGCTCAACAAAGGGGTTTTGCATCTCAAAGTCGAGTTCAATTCCGCCTCCAGCCTCTTCGCACCAATCGCGAATTTGCTTCTCGAAGGCGACCACATCCACAGTTATGGCAACTCGAATATCAAAGACCACCTCAAGCAAGGGTGGTACCACATTGCTCTGCACACCTCCACTCAGTTTTGTGAGATTAACGGTAGTTACATCTCCAATGTCAATGGTTGAGTCCTCAGCTAGTCGTTTCACCTGTGACGCACGGAACTCCATCATCTTATTGACAATGTAGTGCAGCTTTTCGCCTGCAGTTTTTGGTAACAACAGGGAACCGTGACCAGCAGTGCCCGTGATCTTGAATTTTAGATCTAGAAGAACATTGATTGTGAGTCTTTATATTATAGAATGCAGTGCATGCAACTTACGCCATAGAGTCCGCTCAGCATAGTAAACGGAGTAGGTTTCATTCTCACTGGCAATGCCTTCGTCAAAGCTGAATCCAACATTCAGTTTCTTGAAGTAATCACCCTTGACCAACTCGCGCATGCCAAGAACACCTCCAACTTCTTCGTCCGGCACATAGGTAAGGTAAATAGTACGCTTTGGCTGGAAGCCACTGGCCTTAAGGGCGCGAACGGCTCCAAGGTATTGAGTTCCAACGCACTTCATGTCCTGCGAGCCTCTTGCGAAAATTCGACCTTCGTCATCCATATCGGCACTGAAGGGTTCATGAGTCCATTTATCCGGGAAGACGGGCACAACATCCGTATGAGAGTTCAGAATAATGGATGGCAGCTCTGGCTGCTTTCCCAGCCATTTCATTACCACGACGGGATTGGATTCGTTCGCAGGATACAGAACATCTACGGGCAGTTCGAGGCTGGCTGCCTGACGTTTCAAGAATTCCACGCATGCGGCTGTAAAACACAGAAAGTTTATCTTTATGTGATCAACCTCTGCTTATCAAAGTCATTGCTTATCGCACGGTCATATAAATTTAAACCGATATTTACACTCTCACATGCTTACTGTAATCTACATTTGGATGCATCGTTGGCATCCGCAGATATTCACGGAAGATTTTAATTTCCTCATTGTTTTCCCACTCGGACTTGCTCATTTTGATTTGATTCTGTATTCTAGATATAAAAACAAAATAGATGCATATAAAACCGTGTGCAATATGAATAATTTCAAATCTTTAATAATTGAATGTAGATGCACTTTAGATGTGCAAATTTTCAAAAGTACGATTATTTAAAGGTGATTTGATTATTGACAAACAGCTGACTCTTGAGCGGGATCAGCTGTTAACAGTTTCCGTCAAACCTTCTCAACACTGGCAGCGATCGTCTCCGACTGTTACAGTTGAAGCGTGCAACTCGTTTAAATATGCTGATATTATCTCGTTACTGAGGTTTTCGCAGCTTATCAACATTGTAAAGCAGGCAGTTTATGGTTTGCTTATAGTTTGCTAGCTGTTTATCAGCAGCGTTTATTTAGTGTTAATCTATGAATTGACTTTACTGGCCTGTTTATTTTCAGTTTTTAAAAGAGTGTATAAATATGAATATACTCGAAAATGCTGCCGCAGTAATTGCAGCGACGCTTTCTATTTTCGCTGTGGTCCAATATTCGCCCGTGCGCAACTAGCTGTGGTTTAGTATTAAATTTATATTGTACATTCCGCTTGGATTCCTAATCTGCGATGCAACACAAATACTAACGCAAACACACACAAAATATCTAGTGGAAAAGTGTGGCATGTAAACAAGTTGCTTTTATTCCTGCTGTTGATGTTGCTGCTACAGATGCTGATAGTAGCAGTAATGTTGTTGTTGCTACTGTGCCAAGCATTTCGAAGCAGGCGTGGCAGCTGGCAACTGTCAGTGCATTCGTGTGTGTGAGCGTGTGTGTGACTGAGTATATGTCAGATTTAATGCTCGTTTCAATGGGAGCAAATTGCTGTATACAAAAGTTGCACGAGATTTGTTCTGCAAACCATTGACTTAAATTGGATTGTATATCTTTTGTGGCATACCTTCACACGGATACACACATACATACATACATATATTTTCATGCCGTCCCAAAAAGTCATTAAAAGTTCATTAACAACGTTGCTGGGACTTGAACGGCAACAACTTTACCATCAACTATGGCAAATGTTTCAAATAAACAGCGCATGTCTACATTTCAAATGACAGACAAATACGCAGCTAACTCAAACAAGTCAAACAAAGGCCCATGTGCTACAGATGTATTTCACTGTTTGTACTTGTTGTGGATGTGTCTGCTTGTGTGTGTCCTGTTGTCGCTGAACAAATAAACTATTGTAAATTGTTACAATTATCCACACAGCCAACAGATATTATTGACGTACGTTGTGTGTAAGCCTACAACAATAAAATCAAGCTGAAACTCGCGATTGTATTTGCTAATGTACGTGTACATTAAGATTTCGACACCTTATGCCTTAATGGTCGTCTCGTTGTGCATAAAGTTGTTATTGTCGACAGCACTCAAGACGCTTAAGCATTCTTCAGCATTTGTTGAAAACCTTTCAATTTTTACCTCTCCTTGGCAGGCTCGGATACTTAAAGCAAATATCTCAAGGATACGCTTCAAGGCATGTTTTGTCATATAAAAGTTGAGCGCATAAATTTTTTACTTTCGCGAAACGAGCATATTCAATTTGAGTTCAAAGGTGGAGTTTCATAAGTTTTAATAGTTGAAAAATGCATTTTAATAAGCCAAATTGAGTTGTTAAACTTGATTATCTCGTACTCTAGTTTATTTCAATCTATATTTTGAACCGCTATTAATTATAATATTCTATAAATTAGTAGATATAACATTTTTGCGATTGGGGAAACTTTCTCAAATTAATGCTGTTGATATTTTTTTGAGTGCGTGTCGTGTCTGACACATGAAAATTCAACATAATTATAGACTATTCTCATTTTTAATGGTATCAGCGTATAAAACCAGCAAATCTGTGAGCAATTTTATGTGTATTTGCATTTATGCGTGAGCTTTCAGATTGCCAGGCTTACAATGAAAATATTCTGCTAACGAGCAACCTCATTATCATAGTTAAACATAAACTGCGACCATAGCGAGTACTGTGTAAACGGTTAGGTGCGATGGTAAAGTTGAATATTTATTAGAAAATGTATAATTAAACAAAGCATAAGCAAACCTCAATAGTTTCATAATTTAAGTTATTTTAGACTTGCAGTTTGGAACTAGGACTACACCAATACAGAATGCAGAATGAATTGACATAATTGACAATCAATTATCGATTGAAATGTGACGCAAATTGGTTTTCATTTGTCGTATTAATTATGCATATACAAATATGCACTTATTTTTAATCAATGAAGCAATGCTGAATAATTTATGTAATGCGGATTGATTAACGTAAATACTTGATGACAAACATAATCTGTTTGCCTATATAATCATCTTCATTTTCGCATTCAATAATAATTATAATAATTTAAAGCCACTTCGCCAGTGCACCAATTATGCAGTTCTCAATTAACCTGATATAATGACGTTACTCAAATATTTAAATGTGATTTACAAAATTTAATTTGATGCCCAACTCGATACGCATATAAATTTTCTAGTAATAAGGATGAAAGTATGATGCAATTATTTGTATCAGCACAAATAAATTATAGCCTTTTTAAATGAGTTTATAATTATGACTTACATTTGTTAAAGAAATTTGAAGCTGTGCAAAGGGTACTCTCTGTGCTGCATACCAACAAGCGCGCCTCATTAGCGCAGTGAGTGCAATTGCAAAAATAACTAAGCACAATAATAAACAATATTAAATATATAAAACTCAGCAACAAGCTAAGCTTTAATCTTCAGGTGAGCAAGGGTTGCGGGTGTCAAATATACAAACAAGCAAACAGTCGAGCCATTTATAAATGCGAAACCAAAGCAACGCTATGCAAATGGCGAAAGTTCGCTAACGCTAACGAATCACTCGGAACAGCAACAGCAATAGACTAAACACAACAAAAAATAGAAGAAAAAATAGAGAAAAACAAGACTGGTGGCAATGCTGCCATCAAGGCAAATAAAAGAGGAAAGTTATGATAAATGCAGATGGAGCATAGCTAGCAGCATTATTGCCTGTCATTTCTCATCAAGCAAAGCATCAGGATAGGCGAAAGAGGTGTCGCAAGCTTAGGCGGGGGGAGAGGGCACGTCAGGCAACAGTCCACACAGCCGACAGCCGACAACCGACAACAGACAAGCGACAGCCAACAGTCGACTTCCGGGTGGTGCCGCCATATTTGCCAGGCTGTCATGGCTGCCAGGCTCTGAATGGCTGCTAATATAAAAAAGTCAAGAAAGAATGACTTTCTCAGGCACTCCGAAGCGTATATACGCTTTCAGAACTCAGTCAAGCTGCCAATATATAAATTTCACTATATAAATTATAAAATAGATTTCTTCTTTTCTTGAAAGTTATATCATTTAGTTCTTTAATAAAACGCATGACTTTTAAATTTGGCACGGTAAACAATATATTTTCAATCAATAAAATATATATATATTTATTCGAATATGAGAAGTATTTTCTGTTGCAAACGTCACCACCAACTAAAGCTACCCTCGTCAAGGGTATACAAAATACAAGCTTGATTTTTGCCATGCTTTTATTTTCCATTACAAGCGCGCGCCTCGCCTTTGTCCCTTGCTCCAAGAGCGATGAGCTGCAATTTGCAAAGTTTTTGCACCCCCTCGCACACACCCCTAAACTTATATGCATATGTATGTACATTAGTGTGTAGCTTCATTTGAGTTTTGTGTTTGGCGCGCGACAAATGTTTGGGTGTATCCTTTGAGTGGTTTCCAACCAAAGAGCTTATAAGTTGTGCTGCAACCACAAGGAAAAAATAACGTGTGCGAATCCAATGTCTGCCATTCTCTGTCCAGTCAGTCCAGTCAAAACACAAAAAATTACCCAGTGCGCATTAAAAGCTCTTTGCCTTGTCGGTATCGCCGCCCAACTAATTGCTGATTGCTTCTAAGTGCCTCGCTTTGCGCTGCAAGGTCTTTTCGACGTTTTGGGCAACTTTGCAATTAACTAATTGATTGAACTATTCAATCGGCGCAAATGCACGCCATTGCCAGTGGATTTTTATGTGGGCGTGACAATCTTGGAATTGGTATTTGGGGTAGGGAGACCATTAAACGACCCATTGTGGGGCATGTCGAGGCGTGGCCTTTGACTATAGATCATTCCATGTGGCGGTGATGGTGGTGATGGTGGTGGTGTTGCAGCTAAAAGCTTTTAATGCAACGCATTCTGCTTGGTTAGGTGTGGCTTGTGGCAAGTGCGGTTGATATTGCGTACTGCTTTCTTCTGCACTTTGTACACCAAATATCGAAATATGCTTAACGGGCAATTGTTAAATTTCGAACAGCTCGTTGGTTCGTATCGTTGTCATTAAATCATGTATGCAAGCCACAAAGCGCATTGGCCTTAAGCCTTATCCACAAAAACCACGAACACTGATTTCGGGATTGATCGAAATTTGAAATACCATTTAAGCTGTATAATCACCTTCATGTGATAATATTTGGATAACTATTTTTGGAGTGATATTAAATTTCATAAATACATTGCCAGCTAAATGCTTTTATGCAACAAACTCATTCAGTTGTTTGTGAAAAAATAAAAACTTCATTTGTTGGTCTTTATGTCATTTATTTCAATAAATATTTATTTTTAATCGATATCTCCTCTTTTTTTTAGTAGTATGTTAAATTACATATTGTACAACTTTAATTTGTTTTAATTAATTAATGTTGGTCACCATAGACAATTGACATACGTGTCGCGGAGATACAGAGTCAGACGCAGATGGAGATTGTATAATTACATATCAAATCGAATTGTTGGTTGAACATTACATTTTGCAGAGTTTTGCATGCATTTGCAATTTTGTAGGACGCAGTGTGCCTGGCATTTGCCATAAACTTGACCTAATCTGTGCCATCCACCGTCGAGGCAACATATCCCAAACCGCAGTGCATGGCATGAAATAACGGAATCAGATTGTTGCAGCTCCCAGCCATAACACACCCTAGAGCATTGACCATTGCGGCTTTCCCACGTTGTTATTGTTCATGTTTGTAAATATACATTTCAGCTGGAAATGAATGTAGTAATCGTATGTTCTGCACAGAGGTAAACACATTTGGGTGGCACACTCTCATTTTTTTTAGTGCCGCTTTTGGTTTGCCGTTGTTGCCAGCTGCAATTTGTTGCAATTTGTTGTCTCTGTTTTGCGGTTGTTGCTTCAAATGTTTTATGACTGCAGTGC